GAAATTTTCTTACTTGGCCAGATCTCGCCTTCGGCTTCGTCCACAAGAGATCTGGGAACGAGATTACTCCTATAGATCATAAGTAGGAACCATTTAAAACGCGAGAATAATTTGAGTAAGTGTAAGTGTATAGTGAAATAAACAAGTAACAAATGAATAGCGGTAGACTGAAATGATGTCAATCATCACGCGCAACTCCATCCCATAATTCCCTTCTAGAACAGAACATAGATCAACATGGCGTTACCATGTTACTGAGTACAACAATGCGTTGCTGTGTGGACACGTGATACCATTATTGCAGCATCTATCAACCACCGGTTTTGTTGAAAGTTTTGAAAGCAATGCATGTATATGAGTATGAAGTCCAAACTTGCACAATTTATAGGGATGGAAAGCCAAAACTCAGACTTTCAAGTTTGAAGTTTCGTTATGTAATCAGGCATAGTGTCGTGAAGTATTAAAAATATCGATGTTGACGCTACAATTTTAAAACGTTGTATGTTGATGGCAAAAATCGAGGTCAAGTCACATTTCTGAGTCACATTTCTCCCATTCTCAGGGTGAAAACTGGACAGAAGTCGATTCGTAGTTGAACCAATTGTTATGTAACCTGGTAGTCTGATCAAGTGTCATTTTTTGCCGTCGAATCAACTGTCGAATGAGCACCAGACTAGTAGTATTATCATATTGCATGGATAACCATCAATCCGTCAAAACTACGTCAAGGTCAGATTCCAATTTCCCAAAGTAATCTTTAGCAATCACTACACTGTACTGCACTGAGGGATCTCTCTCGATACTCTACAGCTGCAAACCCCAAGAAAGGTGCGTATTATCGTGTTTTATCGAGGAGGGGAGGAGAGGGGAGGGAAGGGAAGAGCAGAAGTGATGGAGGTTGTTTTTATAACAGTTTTTAAACAATCTTACTTTTTACATTAATTGTCGGACAAAAAGCGGCCATTTTGTTAATCCCGCAATGTGTTTCTCATTTCGTTCTCCTTTTATCGGTCGCGAATCTAGAATATACATGCATCTGTATGTTTCACAATGGTGTTTTACTCTCCCGTTTGAACTTTCAAGCTATTTAAAAACCTCTGCACGGTCCCCTTACGTTTGAAAATGACAAAACCGCAAAAGCCTTGTGCGTACTGAATTGCACCTTTCGCATCAATTGCGACGGCTTTTGCATTTAACTTAGTTGATACTTGCAAGGAGCGGCTCGATCTATTGATACCCATTGTGACTGCTGATCACATCTACGTTGAATCCCGCAAATTCGAACTCGGTTAATTCGAATTTTCCGTTATTTCAAACTCAAAACCATTTGCATTGGATTTGCTCTTCAGTCATTAACATCGGCTAATTACTTCCGCAATTTCGAACTATTTTTCGTTTTCTCTAAGCTTGAGTGTTCAAAATAGCGGGTTCCATCGGTATTTTCTCGCTGTTACTAGGCAGCCTGTGTAGCAACATGTTGGTAGCGTTATTCTCGAGCGACTGATCTGATCTTAAGTGACAGAGCTGAGGAAATTCGCGAGCCACGAAGCCGCTAGTGAAACTCCCACAGTGAAATTTTTCGCAGTGAAATTTAAAATCCAAAACGAACGCAATAGCGCGCAAAAGCCCGCCGGCTACGCGAGCGGGGTACTTTGGAAACGATCCATGTATTGCTGTGTGATGCAATCTATGCTATGGCGTGATGTGGAGTTGACTTATGTGCTCAAGTAAATATTAGGTCAGTCGACAAACAAGGAGATTTGATTTGGTGGCGTAAGGTGCATACCAGAACTGATCTTGATTTATAATGCTCGCAGGCGCACGCTAACCGATAAATGTATCTTGCACTTTATCATTGGTGAAGTAATAGTTGGCAGAGGGCTAATCGTGACAAGTAATTTATGTTGACGATTGCTGATTAAAACATATCAACTATTTTGCTTTTGCAATAATACCCTCCAACACCCAGAGAGCTATTGAACTGCGACGGAATTCTATAGCTATGCCAAGARCTTAAAAATAGGRCCGCAGTGCATACATGTGTTTCTTACAAGTCATACTTTCAATTAGGACAAAACTGAATTATCATAAAAATGGAAAAAAAAAAACAAACAAACAAACGAAAGACGCTACTAAGATTTTCAACTCAAAAGGTCAGGGATCGATAGTAGAAGGTGAAAATACGAGGTATTTTAGAGAATAGGGTGCTATTGCAGAGAATCACAAAGTGTGCTCGTGTGGGGCTTCCAATTATTTAGGTTTATCGTACTAGTAGTTGCGATATGGTAAATGAGATGCTGCTGTATTGTAAATGTATTTGCTAATTTCCGAGTAATTGAAACTTATTGCTTCAGCTTATAGCTAAAAAAGGTTAATAGGCCTTGATAAATATATCCCAAACCAAACTTTAAAAAATAAAACAACAAGAAATATGAATTTTTTTAAGGGTTTAGCACACTATTTGTGAAAGTTAGCAAACTCAGCAAAAGATTACCTGATTCATTGTATTAAACATTCATTGTATTATTTCCTGCTGCAAAGCAAGCCCTTTAAAATGTAGGCAATCGGTTGATTGGGGAGCTTTTGCTATTTTTGTGCTAGCTGATGAGATGAAATATTTGTTGCTGGAGTGTAGGTATCATTCAATCACTCACTCAATCAATCAGTCAATCAAACAATCAACGAAACGATCAATCAATCATTCAATCAAACAGTCAATCACTCAATCATTAAAATTTTAGCTTCATTTATACCACAAAGTACAAGCTCACACCATATCAAAGCACAATAGCTCTAAATTGAGTGGATTCCCAAGAAAGCAGTATCCTTCGACAGTTCAAGGATATTCGCATAGGATATTGACTTAAGGATAATAACTAATTAATATATAGTAAAAACGACAACAAAGAAATGCTTGTTACGAATAATAGCTAAATATAACTCGCGTGATACGGATCGATACAAATTTGTGAAAATAATTCTTGAGCTAAGAGTGTACCAAAATAACGAAGTACATGTTCAAGAGACGTGAACTGAGGTACAGAGTTGTGAAAATATTAATTGAATTCCATTCTAATGGCCTTTTTTTATTTTTTATTTTGCGTCGTTGAAGTATTGTGGTTAAAATCGATGGGCCGATTATTTAAACAAAGTTTAGAGAACGTTTTTGAAAGTCATCGTCTAACTCATGTTTAAACCATGAGTACCGATTATTTAAACGTTGTTTTTCCAAAACGGTGTTTAGACAGTGTTTAAAAACCGACTAAGGAACAACAGTAAGTTAGACGTGATGAAATGTAGGTTTAAACGCTATTTAACGATATTTTCATGGTCAGCCATTTAGAAATGGAGGGACCTCTCTGCGCTACAGATCGTTAAGAACTACGCTAATCGACGTAGTGTACATGTGCGACAAATTCGGCACCTTAAGGATAGATTTAACCCATTAGAGGAAGACATTCGATTGCGTTTTCGCCTTAGAAAGGACTCTTAAAAATTTTGGATAAAAATCTTCAACATAAAACAAGGGGAGGTCTGCCGCTTACACCAATGCAGCAAGTGTACATGTTAATTGCTTTAAGGTTCTATTCGACAGGAACTTTCCAGAGGGTTATTGGCGATTTATTTGGTGTTCTGCATTTGCTGCATGCACAGTCATTCACAAGGTTTCAAGGGCTATTGTGATACAAAAAGGACAATTCCTGTCATTCCCAGAGAGCCCGGCCGATACGAAGAGAACGTTTTCAGTTGTTGCGCACTTTCCAGGTGTGATCGGGGCCATTGATTGTACCCACATCAGAATCATATGTCCAAACAAAGCAAATGCTATGGCAATAGATAACAGAAAGCAGTTTTACACCATCAACGTCCAAGCCGTTTGTGATAGCCATGCTTTTAATACTAACATCGTACCCCGCTGGCCTCGGGGATCTTCTCGCGACTCACGCATTTTTGAGAACAGCAACATCGCAGACAAACTATGGGATGGTGCTCTTGATGGCATTCTTGTGGGTGACAGTGGATACGCTCGTAGAACATACATTTAATGACACCAATCCCCAAGCCAAAGAATGCAGGAGAAGTGCGCGACAATACTGCACATAGGCGTACTAGGTATGTTGTCGAGAGATGTTTTGGTTTGCCAGAGCGACGTTTTCCGTGTCTACACTTGGGACTGCGCCCGGTCTTGGCAAATACCCTCCTCATTATTGTGGCGACTGCAGTGTTGCATAATTTTGTCCTTATGCATCGAGAGCAAGACTTTGATAAAGACATTGAAGATGAAGATGTTCCATTTGACATTGTTGCTGCAGCAGACGCAAGTAGCAATGACAAACGCCAGCTCATAATTTCACGATACTTTGCCTAATACGATTAATGATTTAATTAAAGTGCATGTAAGATTCATTGACAACAAAATAAGAAACAAAAGAGAACATTCACCACAATTAATTAATCTTTTTAATTCTTTTGTTTTGAAATTTATGATGATTTCATTTCATGACATGAATATTCCATTGTTCAGAAATAAAAGAAAATGATTGATTGAAATGATTGATTGATTGGCTCAAAAAAGTTCAAACTACAGGTTGGTTTACGAATTTTCCTCGTCAGTGTCGTATGCAGGTGGTAAAAGAATTCCCATGTTATCGCACTGGTGCATTAGCTTCCATTCTTTAAGCTTTAGGACCTTCATTTTTAATTTGTGTTTGTCCCTCGCCATGGACAAGAATAGGTCCTCCTACTTAAGGGAATCTGGCCTGGTCTCTTGCGTTTGGACCTGTCAATGTAATGTCATCTGTTCATCAATAACTGTGAATTAAGTAATAAATTATCATTTAAAAACAATTTTTAGACGCGATTAAAAATTACTGTACTCCTGGCTATCCTCCTTTTTCGTGACTTTTGCCGCTCCTTTCCTGCTAATTGCTTCAAGGTCAGCAAGTAGACTTGGCTCCACTTCGTATGTAATAACTTCCCTCTCGTCTTTGTCCCGCCTTAAATCAAGTTCTTCTCCTGCATCATCATCAAATTCCTGCTCTAAAGAATTAACTGAGGCTGGCATTACGTCCGCTACTAATTTGCTTACTTCACTTGGGGAGGCAGGAGCTTTTCCTCCACCGGTTTTTCTTGCTCCACGACGATGTAAGTTATGCTCCTTTATCAACTGGAGTTTCAGCCGCCTCCAGCATCCTTGAGGCTGACTGAGGTCGCTTTTGATACCGTTAGGACTTTGGGAGTTAAATTAAGATAAATTTCCTCCCACACCTTTGCCTTTTTTGCCAACTTTTACTGTCATAGCCTTTGCTTTCCACTTCTGGAAAGTCTCTACCCAATTCGGCTACTAAACTGTTTTTCTTGTTCGCTGAAATTTGTTGTGCGACTTGTTTTAGAAAGCCATGTTGCAAAGACATGGTTTAGCCATTGACTCGAGAAAACACGGTTCAGTGGCGTTTCAATAATAAATTTTAAATATCGTTTAGCCATTATTTATCGAGACAACGTCTAGCCCGCGGCTCAGCCCTAAACAATGGTAACGCTTCGTTTAAATAATCGGCCCGATATGTTTAAAGAATTTTACAGAGCGGCATTCTCGTATGTACCCAATATAATAACCCCAAACAATTTAACATAATCGAGACGATCTTACAAACAATTGTAAACAGAAAAGGGCTTGTTGGACGGAGAAAAGAAGTCGGTCGTAAGCTATGTTTATTCTCGTAATATTCGCCACTGGTTAAACCCCGTCATGCATATCAATGCAGGCGAATGAAGTCGTCAAAACCCAGAATTGGCCTTTTTTTGTAGTTCTTTTGCAGAAGACTGACTAAGATGTCTCTATGCAATAACAAAGAGATAAGGCTTTTTTTATCTGGTGTCCATCTCCCAGTGCAGTGCTCTTCTATGAAGTTGGAAAATTTTCATTAAATCATAGTTTATGTGAAGCTAATTTTAAGTTTAGTTCTGACAACAGCTTGCCACCTCAGTTCGTTGTTTCACTGAAAACTTTTATACAATTGCAACCCCGCAAAACACAACCGTTAACTTACATGTACGCACGTAACTTGCGCAAAAAAGACAAAAGATTCTTATCGAAACAGTGGAACAAATTAACATAATGCGGCGTCAAACTTCTACAGGCGGTTTCTAAAGTCTATGAACCGATAAAGTTATTAACATGAGATATTAAAATTAGGCAGGGGCGAGATACACTCGTCAACTCAGTATCACTATCATCGCTGACCGGCTAACCGAGTCAGTAATTGCTGTCTTCATCGTGTATCGCAGAGAAAGGTAAGTTCAGTCTGTTTAATTTGGGGGCCTTTT